CCACCACACCATGGTGCAGGGGGAGAAGTTCCAGAGCGACTCAGACACAAACAGAGGCTGGTGGTCCTCTCAGGTCAATTCTAGTCAACTCCCCTCAATGGAGGATGAAGAGACCAGTCCAGGCCCGTTCTGCGTCACACTTCCAACCCATCAAGTCCTGTTGATCCTGTTGTCTTCATAGCTTTCAGAGGAGCAGAGGGTTTAAGGACACAGAGAAGGGCCAGCTGCATCCAATACAGCCGGGAGCCTAAGAATGGGAGTTCTTTTATTCATAGCCCTGACCCCAATTGGTGATGAAGTATTTATTTGTGAGGTTCTTGGTCTAGTGGCCCTCTGTCCCTGTTAGAGTGCAAGCTAAGAGGGTAAGGATTCTCACATATAAATATTTGTATCTTTTGTTTTGATTCTTCTTTGAGTATTTGGTAGAATTGGTAGAATTCACCACTACATGGTGAAGCTATCTGGTCCTGGGCTATTCAGTCTTGTTGTTTGTCATAGTTATTTATCTTGTATACTCAGTGCCTGATCCCAGCAAGGAGAAAGCGCAACCAAGACACAGTGGGTTTAGAGTGAGCGGGACACCTCCTCCAATGCCAGCAGAGGACAGAGAATAGTCATGGACCTGCGAGGGACGTGGGGTTGGCTACTCCTTTCCCCTAGCCTCCAAAGCTTTGATACTTCCTGCTTAGGCTGAACTGGCAAGATCCTTTTTCCACCTACCAAGCAGAATGGGGACCTGAGAGTTGCGGGGAAATCATCTTGTGTTCTTTCTTTGCACACTCAAGATTGTGACCTGTAAAATGTGTATCTGACACCCAAGTCATTCTAGACCCATAGGGCTTCCCCACATGGTGAGCAGTTCGCCTGGCCAGTGGGAGTGAGGGCACGCTGCCCAGAAGCTGTGCTGTTCGGGCTGACAGTGTAAGAGGACGAAAGCATCCAACATGGCGCTTCCTGAGGCCCTGGGTCCCTGGACCATTTGTCCACTTAAGCTGGGATCTCAGCCTAATGAGGCTTTGACTGTTATCTGAGACCGAACTTTGGCCAACTGCAGAGAAGCACGAGAAGGAAGATCTCGGCCACTAAACATTGGTAAGGACACACTGTTTCCCTGTATATTTACTTTGCACTTGGCTGCACTGTGATAATCTGTTTATCTGGCTCCATCTTCAACTGAATAAAGTGTGTCTCTTAGTCATCTTTGTACCCAAGCACTTGGAGCAGACTTTATTATTATTTTTTTTAATAGTAGTTTTTAGAGCAGTTTGTTTTAGGTTTATTATTAACATCTTAGCTTTGTATGATACATTTGTTGTCATTGATGAACCGATACTGATGCATTATCATTAACTAATGTCCATAATGGGAGCTCTGGTGGTGTAGTGCCTAAGGCACTTGACTGCTAACCAGAAGGCTGGCAGTTCAAATCCACCAGCCACTCCTCAGAAGGAAGGTTGGGCAATCTACTTCTGTAGTGATACTACTTCTGTAGTTGAATCTACTTTGCTATGAGTCAGGGCCAACTTGATGGCACATAACAACACAACAAATGTCCATAATTTACAGTAGAGTCCACTCTTTGTGTTGTACTGTCCTATGGGCTTTGACAAAGGCATAATGTCTTGTGTCCACCATGACAGCATCATATGGAACAGTTTCACTGCCCTAAGCTGGCTCTCACTTCACCTGGTTATCCCTCCCTCCTCTCTCGAACCCCTGGAAACCACTGATTTTTCACTGTGTCTATAGTTTTTCATTTTTGAGAATGTTATTAGTTGGAATCCTGCAGTATGGGGCTTTTGCATATTGGCTTCTTTCACTTAGCCAAGGGTTAGATCCTCACTTATCAACATGGGTAGATTCCAAAGACCAGGTTGTTATTAAAAAAACTGGTGTTATGTGAAAATGGAGGATGATTACATCATTGCGTAACTGCCAAACCACTGAGAATCGTGGCCCAGCCAAGTTGACACATAACCTTAACCCTCACAGCCAGCATCACTGACAGACCTGTGTCATTATTATGCAAACTGCTCAGACAGCAGATTTTTATTATTGTAGTAAATGTGAAATGTGGGACAATGAGAGAGTTGATAAGTGAGGAGTGTTGTTGTTGTTGTTGTGTGCCGTCGAGTCGGCCCCGACTCATAGTGACCCCTCCTTGGGTTTCTGAGGCAGTATCACTACGGAAGTGGATTGCCTCATCTTCCTTCTGAGGAGTGGCTGGGGGGTTTGAACCGCCAGCCTTCTGGTTGGCAGTCAAGTGCCTTAGGCACTACGCTACCAGAGCTCCCAGGGGAGGAGCAGGTGGATGCATTTAAGGTTCTTCTTGTCTTTCATGGCTTGATGGCTCATTTCTGTTGACTGCTGAATGATATTCCATGGCTTGTTTATCCAAGGAGCTCTGGTGGTGCAGTGGCTAAGGCATCAGCTGCTAAGCACAGGGTCAGAGCTTAGAGCCCACCGGCCACTCTGTGGCAGAAAGACGAGGTGCCCTGCTTCCTAGAGACTTACATTCTTGGAGGCCCTCTGGGGTGGCTCTACTCTGTCCTATAGGGTTGCGATGAGTTGGCATTTACTCCAGGGCAACTGGTTTGGTTTTTTGGGTTTGATTGTCCATTCACCTAACAAAGGATTTCTTGGTTGCTCCCAATTTTCAGCAATTATGAATAAAGCTGCTATAACATTGCTATGTGGGTTTTTATGTAGACACACATTTTCAACTCATTTGGGTAAATACTTAGGATGAAATTGCTGGATCATATGGTGAACCTGTAAACATAGGCTTTCCTTGTAAGAAACTGCCAGACTGTCTTCCAAAGTGGCTTCACCATTTTGCATTCTCAGAGCAGGGCTTTGAAAGCACCTGGCGAGTGCACTGATACATCAATGAGCAAGTGACAGACATGGGCAGGTGCGTGTTTGTCCTCACCCAGTGCCTCCCTTCACGCCTTCGGCACAAACCTCGTTACTTGAGTCTCTTCACACCACCCGTGAAGTGGTACAGAAGACGTGGCTTCTACTATTTCTCCTGGCAGACCAAGACCAATTGCATTGGTTAAGGTGTGGTGCTGGCTGGGTTTCAGTCCCAAACAAAGGCTAGTTTCTCATTGGTATCATTCCAACCAGTTGAACCAGATGAGTAGGGTGGGTGGGTGGATGCCAGGAAGCTTAGTTATAAAATCATCTTAGCTTGGTGCATTTTAGAGAAAGAAGAAAAGCCTTTTAGTTTCCACAGGGGTTTTGTTTCCAAAAAGAATACCAAGGCCATGGATTGAGGGGAGCTAATTGAATTGTTGATAATTATCAGATGACACTCTAATCTCTCCTTGTTTGAATGTGTTCCGTGAACCACTTGGGCTGGGAACAAAAAAGGGGAGATTGTATACAATACCATGAATGTCTGTCACACTGGCATCTTTTGTGCGTGTGTCTGCTGAGATGAGATGGAGTCTTTTGTGTGGAAGACCCTTGGGGAAACTACTATGGGAGTAACCATGGAGACTGGAACCAGAATTTTAACAAACTTGCTGCTTTGGTCTGTGTTCTATTTTCCACAGTAGTCCATATCAGGGATCATTAAGCATTGAATATTAGCATCACTAAGCGGCAGGGGGCTTTCCAATCTCTCGTCATACAGTTCATAAATAGTATTTTGTTGTAGCCGGTAGCCATTGGGAAGCCACTTGCAGACACTGGGGCTCAATATCCCTATCTGTCACCTGAGGACAGTGCCAACGTGAAGCTACCAAGAGGGGGAGGAACTGTATCAGAAATCTCCGGAAGCCCATTCTTCCTGAAGATGCTGTCCTGCCTGAGAGAGGGACTGTTCTTTGTCCAAGGAATTGCCCAACTCACTGTCTGCTCAGGATACTCTGAACTGACACTGCCCAACGCAGCCACCAGCGCCACGTCCTGCATGTCTCATCTCTCCTTAGGGGACCCGTCTAGGGCTTCTTGCTGTATCAACAACACAAGATGGAGAGGGAAAGGACACACAGAGGCCTGACAGCATCACTCCAACCCAACTCGTCAGACCTCTGTGGATGTCCACTTGTGTAAGACACTCTGCCAGATACTCAGGCCATGTCCCTGACTGCGCCCTTGCGTAGCTCAGGATCTGAAGAGGGGAACAAGCAGAGGTGCTGGACGTGGGAGACACAACAACAGAAAAGGGGAGAGATGGAAGCCGTGCAGAGCGGGAAGGGGTGAAATCTGGTGGAGGTGGTTGCAGGGGCTGGACTCTTCCTGTCTGAGCTGGGCTTTGAAAGATGCATGGGAGCCTTCCAGAGGCACAAGAACACCTGAGGGAGAGGAAACCCTGGGAGTTTTTTTCTGCTTGTTTGGAGGAATTTCAAGAATTTTGGAGTGAGGGTAGCCTTGGTAGACAGACAAGGAAGGGTAAAGTAGTTTTAAGTCCAGTGGCTTCATTTGGAATTCTTTTTATTAAATTAAGTTTATAATCTTTATTTTTTAAAGAATAGCAGCAGTGATGGCCTCAAACGTACCAGCAATTGTAAGGGTGATGTTTGCTTTGTAACACCTAAGGTCGCCTTGAGTTTGAGCCGACTTGATGGCAACCACCAACAATGTTTTCGAACTCAAATGATAACCAAACACCCGAGGTAACGTAGACAGCTAATGGTCATAAGATTCACTTGGAGTTTCAGATAAAAACGAATAGCCTTTCAGTTTGCTGATAACACTGAGTTGTTTAGTACTGATTTCCTACAAAGTATGAACTCGAGAGAGGTCAGCATGGGGGTATGTTTGGATGATTTGCCTAGCACCAGGGAGCAGGTGCACCCTGAACTCCCTAGGTGGCAGGTGGAGCTCAGGCGGCCCTTTCACTGGTTGCGGCTGGGGCTACACCCCCTTCCCAGCATATAAACCTGCGAGGTGCCTTTCTGAATCACAGCTGGCTCTGCAGCGTGGGTGGAGCCCAGCACACACAGCTCAAAGGAAAACTCCGAGGAGGTCCTCTGGCAAGGAAACCGAGGATGGACCTGATCCCAAGCTTTTCCGGGGAGACCTGGGTCCTCCTGGCCACCAGCCTGCTGCTCCTCTACATGTGAGTAACTGCCCAGCTTCCTCTGTGACACTGCACCTGAGACACTGTGCTTCTCTGGCCACTTGTCCCCAGCTTCTTTGAAGACCAGAGAGAAAGGGGTTAGGGGGAAAGGGGGAAAGTTACTTAAGTGCTGGCTGCTTAGGAGTTACTAGTCATCTTATGTAGATCCTATAAGGGACAAAGATGGCACTAAACACTCCCTGACAACTGACATATTTTTGAGTTTTGATAAGCCATCCCACCCCACTTCCCAAACCCCAACTGTGGTCGTCAGGGAGTGTACAGTGACATCTTTGGTCCTGGAGAATGACTGCCAATTCGACCTGGACAAATCAACAAGAATCCAGCAGTTGTGGTGGCTGTTGTTAGGCACCATTGAGTCGGTTTTGACTCACAGAGACCCCATGTGCAAATGGGGACTGTTTAGACCAAAGGAGTTATGCTTTTCAACTTCTACCATTTGATACTTGATAGTTCATTTCTTTTTATCACTGATCTTCATGGACTTTCACAGTTTTATTTTATTGGATGTTACAAGACTGACTGGATTGGTATGGAATATTTGGAACCTATATTGAATAAAAAGGGACCCTGGTGGTGCAGTGGTTAAGTACTTGGCTACCAACCAAAATGTTGGTGGTTCGAACCCACCAGCTGGTCTGTGGGAGAAAGATGTGCATATATTCTGCTTCCATGAAGATGACAGCCTTGGAAATGCTGTGGGGCAGTTCTTCTCTGGCTTATAGGGTTGCTATGAGTTGGCAGCAACTTGATGGCATTAGGTTAAGGGTTTATACTGACTTCCTCCAAAGAGGAGGAAACAAGAGATTATTTCAACTGATATCATTTCAACTCCTTGGGACATTTTGTTGTTGTTGTTGTTGTTGTTGTTATGTGCCGTTGAGTCAGCCCCGACTCATAGCGACCCCTCCTTGGGTTTCCGAGGCAGTATCACTACGGAAGTAGGATTGCCCAACCTTCCTTCCGAGGAGTGGCTGGTGGGTTTGAACTGCCAGCCTTCTGGTTAGCAGGCAAGTGTCTTAGCCACTATGCTACCAGAGCTCCTTGGGACATTTATGGTTGCTTATTTTCTGTTCATAACGATGGAAGCTGTGCGGATTTGGAAAGTCCCTTCTTTCGTAACTGAGTACATCTGTAGGGCATGTTGAGCGACTCATGCTTTTTAGGCACATGTTCCTAAATTGCTTCTACAGCACTCACGTCATAGAACAATCATCTTCACATTGAATGAGGTCAATAGCCTGCACCCTCAGTTTCCCTTTCTCTTCCTGTTGGCCACCTCTCAGTAACATGGAAGAGGCAAGGCTTGTCTACAGATATGGATGTAGGCGTGGACTTCAGAGGCCTCTTTGTGAAGGACCAGATCCTAAAATGGGGGTCAGAGCATATAGTGAAGGGAGGCATAATAAACGGTTCACAACAAAGCTTAAGACTACCCTGTATATGTGGTTATGCAAAACCTTATCATCAGAACAAGGATTTTTTTTTCTGCTTTCTACCTAGAATTGTTGTCTTGTTGCCCTCAAGTTGGTTCCAACTCATGGTGCCCCCGTGTTATAGGGCAAAACTGCTCTATAGGGTTTTCTTGGCTGGCATCTCCATGAAAGCTGATACCAGGTCTTTCCTCCTGCAGTGGCACACGGTCGGTTCTGACTGCTAACCTTCTGATGACAAGCTGAGGAGAACCATTTGTGCCATGCAGGGACACAAACTAGAACCTAGAATTCTCTAACTAGAATAGGAACCCCCAAATCCTTCAAGACTCTACTTATCAAAGAGACACAAGCAAAGACCCTGGAAGAGTTCCAGCTTGGACCTCCCAGGAGCCCAAAGTTTGGAACCTTGGTCAAACATTCTCTCTAGAACTGGTGTCGGGATGATTCTAGCTGCTTCTTACTGATCATCCTTACTTTTTGTGGGTCTCACAGTGGAGGTGGGAAAGGAGATGATGGTGAAGTATGATTGCTGCTGATGGGGTTGTTATTGTTATTTATCGCCTCCATGTTTCTTCCCTAACATTGGCTGTCATCTGTGCTGCGATCCTCGTGACCTGTCTTGTCTCTCTCCTTTGATAGATATGGAACCTATTCACATAATGTTCTAAAGAAGCTCGGGATTCCAGGACCCAAGCCTCTGCCTTTTGTGGGAACTGTCTTGGCCTACCGTAAGGTGAGTATTGGCACTCCTACTTTGTCATCTTATGGTTGCATATGCCTACTCAATTCCATCAACGCAAATGCCCTTCCTCAGGCAGAAGTTTCTAGAGCTTTCTAGAAACTGTGGATACCCCATCCAGAATATTGGAATGGATTCCCCACAGGAATCTCTATTGTCAAACATTGTCAAACATTGAGGTTTCAGCCTCAATCTGACAGTTCCGTTCTAGTCCAGTTCCCTGACAAACTCAGCACAAGACTTGATATTCTAACATTGTGCGTATCATGAGGACTATCTTTCTGCTAGGTGCATCTTCCAAAGACGGCATAGTGATCCTTAGTGTTAGGAGAAATAGACAAAAGGAGTCTTGGTAGTGGCTCATTAAGCTGTATGTGCTCAATTCAAATCTCTTGCTTCTTGCATGAGCTCTGGGTAAATTTTTTTGTTCTCCTTCTTGGATAAATTGTTGGAAAAATGATTTATTTTTGTCGGTGGTGCTTCTTCTGGATAGATTTTGATGCTCCAATGACTGGGCAGCTCAAGTTGTCCCCAGCAGGTAATTTGCACGTATGCCTTCTCTCAAGCACTTCTAGAACCCCTGTGGTTGTTATTATGGCATTATCCAGCTCTTGCTACCCATGCCATCTCTTGGGGATTTGAGAGCTACAGCAAGAGCTTCCTGCCGTTCATTTTTCCGCCAAAGGATCCACCTCTATGGGTGAATCTGAGTGAGGAGTGAGTATAGCTGAGACAAGGTGATGACTGCCTACCAACTTCAGACATTTAACCCCTAAATGAGTTTTTTTTTTTTCTTTTTTAAATAAAAGCATGTGGTTATGGTTAGGTGTGGTTGAGTCACTTTCAACTCATAGTGACCCCATGCGACTGACTAGAACTGCCCCATGGGACACTCATTCATTCTCTCCAAGCTTCAGTTTTCTCACATGCCCATGGAGGTAATTATTTAGAGGGTTATGAGTTTTTTGTTTTTTTTTTAATTTTCTTAAAAAATTGTGATTTGGGTGAAAGTTTACAGAGCAAATTCACTTTTCATACAGCAGCTCACATACACTCTGTCTCATGACACTGACTACAATTTACCACAAGGCAACAGTTCCCCTCTCACTTCCTCCCCATAGTTACCTCTTCCCTATGTCCTTCCCTCCATGCATTCCTGCCCCCTGAGCTGTCTCCCTGTGCATACACAGCCCTTCTGTTCTCCCATGATTGTTCTCTCCAAGGAGTGTCTCTACCCAATGTAAATGTTCAGCTCATATGCCTGTCTTTTGTTTGGCTGGAAGTCACAGGAGTGGGTTCAATTCCAGACCTGAAGGGCAGCTAGGGGCCATAGTCTCAGGGGTCTCACCAGGCTCTATCAGACCAGCAAACCTGGTCCCCCTTTTTTTCCCCAATGATTCTGAGTTTTGTTCCACATTGTTCTCCCTCTCTGTCCAGGATCTCCTCCATAGATCCCCTTAGAGGTTTATGAGGTTTCAAAGACAACATATGCACAAGCGAAAACTCTGCAGAAAGACAAAGAGTTGCTTACTATTCATAGACAAGGTTACATCAGTCAGTATCTACAAACTTTGACAAAATGCAAGAGTTATTATAAATTCTCCATTTAGAGTATCTCCTCTATTTCCCCTCTTTACCCCTAAGATGTCTCTGAAGAACTTCCCTTTGTCTGCCAGTGAAAAGATCAGGTCATACTTTGACGGGCTGCCATGCAAAGCACCGTAAACTTGGTGCCTCAAACAACAGAAATCCATTACCTCACAGTTCTGGAGGTCAGTAGTCTGGCAAGGTATCGGTAGGGCCGTGGCCTCAGGGAACGGTCTAGGGAAAGATCTATCTTTGCCTTCCAGCTGCGGGGGGTGCCTGGTGGCCCCTGGCATTCCTTGATTGTAGATGCACCACTCCCGTCTCTACCTTAGTCTTCCCGTGACCACATTCCCCGTGTCTCTCTGTGTCTGTCTTCTCCTCTTCTTTGAAGAACACCAGTCCTACTGGATTCGTGTCCACCCTACTCTAGTGTGACCTTGTGTTAACTGCTAACCATCTTTGCTGTTGTTAGTTGCTGTAGAGCCAGCTGGGGCTCACGGTGACCTTAAGTACAGCAGAATGAATCACTGCCTGATCCTTCACTATCTCCATGACCCTTGATACTTTGAGCCTGCTGTTGAGGCCCTCTTTCCACACAAGTTCACTGTCGCAGATACTGAAGGTTCAGATTTCAACATATCCTTCCAGGGGCACAATATATTTTATCCATGATAAAGAGTAAGGTTGATTTCATCTGATTTGAATTTTTTTTTTTTGCCCCAGAAAAAGGCAGAATTGAATACATTTCAGTGAATGTTGTTGTTGTTGTTGTTAAGTGCCGTCGAGTTGTTTCCGACTCATAGCGACCCCATGCACAGCAGAACGAAA